AAAAAAAAAATCATCAGATAACCTAAATATTCATTCTCAATTCAATGAATTCAGTGAACTCCTATTTTTGGGACAACCTTGCATTATGGTATTAAAGAGCATAGGTAGTTTGTATGTAAAAGACTCAGATTTGCTAGACTACAGGTAGGGATGGGCTGTCTATGATTTGTACATATGTTTTTTTTTGGCTCCACAACGCATGCATGATTTGTTTTTCTCAGAGCTGGCAAAGTAGGAATTTTTTTTCTTTGCTTGGGAGGCTGCAGGAATTTTTTTTTAAATCTTCCAACCCCACCCCTCAAAAGTCAAATGATTTGCCTCTAACAAGAATTTGCCTATTATTCTTCATTTGTATTAAATATAAGACACATTGCACATGTAGGAAACTTTGACGTTCTTTAATTCTTAAAATTTGCTACAACATTCTTATTCACTTTTTTTAGGTAACATTTCCATTAGTGTTGTTCTTTCTAAGAAACTTCGGACAAACTCGAGAAGACGTCGCCGTCATAAAAACGTCTGATTGCAACCTGCGATCGGGCGTTTTTTTTTGTCGGTGAGCGGGGAAAGGGGAAGAAATAACTTCTTTTTCCCGCCAAAAAAAAAAACCCGCTTGATGGCAGGTTAGTCTGATGGGTGACGTGCGATACGATAGTTCAGCCAATCAGATTGCAGCAATTGCATAGCACGTAAGTGATACTTGTAAATTTAGTTAACATTGCTCTGAAGAACCCATTTGTGAAATTTATATACCTAAAGCGACAATGGTTATAAAAGAACAAAGCTGTTAACGACAGCCAACTCCGGTGGTGAGGCAGTGTACCAAAACAGGGGAAGACAAAGCTGACTTTCGGTAACCATAGAAAACATAAGTTTGTTTTAGTCTACTTACGACTTTAATTTTTGGCGCAAAAACGCAATTATAAGAGTTTCAACAAGCCTACAAGCAGTTAACTCGGTCTGAAATTCTAAAATTCGGCGATTGCAAAGTCGTTCCTCTTAAAGTCACGCAGTTTGAAATTTGACAATTGAAACATCGGCATCAAAAAGCATTTCTCAGTTCATGTAAATGGACTGTTGGTAAGGTTGTTCAAGAACCATTCAGTTCGGATATTGTCTGGTGCTGGAATATCTGGCTTGTTTGATTTATATTCTCCAGGAGCATCGCCTGCTAGATATTCGTTCCACGTACACCTCTGACCAATCGCAGCCAACATCTATTTATCTTTTGGGTGACTTAAAGAGACAACGGAAATACCGCAATTGAACTGCCTTGTTCCCCACACTTATCACCCGATATGTAGAACTGAGATACCGAATTATTTTCCATTTTCCTCGGCGTTGTTCCATAAGTTTTCAGTTCTAAATACCAAAACGCAAGAACTGGGGCTCTTCGGCTGATACTTTCCGCGACGCAAATTTTCAAAGTTGCAACTCATTAATACTTTATAAATGTTGACATTTTCTTGTGTTTTAATTATACTTTTAAAGTGGCGACACGTGGAGATTTCTTTTTTAGCTCGTTTTCAACAGTTAATTAATAACCTTTGAATATTTTATACGGTTTTATTGATGTCTTGAGGTTAAAATTTCTCTTTGATTTGTCTGAAAACACGAAAAACAAAAATTTAAAACAAGCCATCATTTGGCGCAAATGTGATGGCTGAACAAAGTTCTTTCAAGTTCCACATTATAATGTGATAAGAAACGCTATTTTAAAACGCGAAAAACGCCGCTTAATTCCAGCGAAACGTATAAATTAAGGATTCATTTGGCAAGCAAATGCGATCGCAGCTAAGGAGGGTTTCTACAATTTCTTTTATCGTATTATCTTCCGTTGTCTTGTTCAAAATTTCTGGCGTGTCTTCACCCCAGTTTTGAAGTCTTGCTCCCCAGTAATGATTAAGCCTTATCTGAGTTCTATCAGCGTCCACTGATTTTCCACTTCTGAGGTCGTGGTGATGAACGTGTGTTTCTGTTACCTGCATTGTCTTGTAGATGGGTTTAACTAAGGCGTTTGAAGGTCTGGGTGTTCTCCGCTTGAGTCGGTCAATAAGTAGCGGATGTTCCTTATCACTTAGTGGTTTACCGAGAAAGAGGAAATTCTGCATAGTAATCTGCGAGACATCAGGTCGTTGTCTCGAAAAGTTAGTGATAAAACGTTGCATAAAATTAGGTTTGGTATCTTGAGGACAAAATGGATATTCGTCGATATCAATGCTAGCTTGCCATTTGGATTGATTGCCCCAATTGTCCAAGCAATGTTGATACGCGCTTTCCTGAGTGCCAGTTACCGAGTAGGGATACGCGTTGTGACTCCAGTCAACGTAGGTTACGAAGCCCTCCTTTATGAGGAAGTCAAGGGCATTCTTTTGCGATTCATTCTTTAAAACATAAGCGTCGTACACGTAAACGTGCTCAAAGCCAGCATACTTCAAGTAATAAAGCCACTGCATTAACTCTCTTGTGCTGAGCTTGGCAAGATCACTAGAGTAAATTCGCACGAGTAAAACAGCGCTTAGAAAATAGGGAGCACCTGTATTTGCTTTATTACACCAGCTGAGGCACTGTTGTGTACGTTCCGAGTTGGCGTTCTGATGGCCATCCGTCTTTGACGTGGTTTGGTTAACCTTGTTTTCTCTTCTGACGTTAGACACAGTGATCTTCAGCGACTGCGCTTGTCCAAGTTCAACAAAGTTGTTTCCATGAAACTCACGCGTAAACGATTCGCCCTCTTTGAGATGAGACGCAATTAAAACGATGAAAACAATCAAGGTAAACAACAAGAGCAGCCTGAAATACTTTCGACTGCAAAGTACCCTAACTAAACCATTACTTTGCCATTGATGTGAACCAGCGACAGTTACGCGACGACTTGTTTGATCCCTCATCATTTGCAAAACAAAAGCGGAGTTCAGTTTATTTGTGTCGTGTAGATTCGGTATAATTATATGTGATCCCCGTGGGCGGTCAGCAGGTGTGTCGGTTAAACGGCGTGCGATAGCCACTTAATCATTCATGTTGGTATACTTGAAAATCTACTCTTTTCGTTTTTGTTGATTACACAACTCATCAATTTCCTTTCTGAAAGGACCTGAGTCCGTTTGGTTTTTTAGTTCTTGTTGATCTTGTACTTACATATCTTCCACCGCTGCATTAATCCTCCAAAGGTGACCGTGACTGTCAAAGAAACTTATGTTATATTTCTTTGAGGATATTCGACAGTCACGCCATTTATCTTGTGAATCGGCTTTAAAATACTGCTTCGCATCTTGGTCTGTCAAAAAACCTGATTTTCTCTTGGGTCTCTCTGATGACACTGAAAGAAGAAAAAAGGTTTTTACGTTTTCATATCTCCGGTAGCTTGGCTGTGAAAACTACATTTGGTATTACTGTATTCACCTAATTCTCGCGACTCTGAAATTAAATGCCTCCTACTCAGAATCATTCCACTGTTTTTGTCAGGAGGAAGTGTGCTTATTGTTCTCTCTGTTCAGCTTTAATATCACCTTGGTTTTATTCGCAAGCGGCCAAAATGAACTAATTCAGCCACATTATTATTCAGCCATATTATTCACGATATAGTCTAACATAGGAACAGGACAAGTTGAGATTATGTACGTAAAATTACAAAAGTTTTGTTTTTCGGGTTTTTCTGTACGCGGTTGTAGTGAGAGAAGACGGGACCGTAATTTCTCAAATTAAGTCGGGTGAAGATCAAAAGGTAGAAACAAAAGGTAGAAACATGTTTAAAAGCTGTCAAAATCCAGCTTATATAAGTGCTCGTTTTGTCAAGCTTGCGCAGTAAGGAACGAAGACTTCAGGAACCAATTTCGTTCCTAGAGGCCGCGCGATTCTTTTGGTTAGTACAAAGAATCGAGACCTCTGGAAGAAATCGGAAGGTAAGCCAGCATTAGTCACAGAAGTTACTCTTACGACACATGTTCAGAGACCACTGGGGCGGATCTAGTAGGGTCCGGAGGGGGTTGGGAGGGGGTTCGATCGACCCCCCTAATTAAAAAAAACGAGACATTATAATACACTGACTTGGCCTCAATTTTAAACATTTTCCGGGGGAGGATGTTCCGGACTCCCATATCTCGAGCCCCCCTCTCTAACATCCTGTATCCGGCCCAGCATCATTATTGAACTTGAAGGCATGCACACAATCAAACTGGAACCAGATTACACGACTAAACGTACGACTTAAAGCAAAAAACTTTCACGGTCGCAGATTGCGTTCAGATAAAATTACTAAAACCATTTCCGCTAGTTACTTCTGGTTAGTTGCCCTTAGTTGGCCTTGGTTGTTAGCAGCGCAAAGGGCGAAAAGTGATTTGGAAAGACGAGGGTCACTCTTTGTTTTCCGTGACCGTTATTCACTCTTTCGGCTTCCAAGTTATAATCCATAATTTTCTTTTCTCACTTTTTGTCGTGCGGGATTTTTTTATTTTTTTCGTTTGGTGGGGGCAGGAATTTCCCAATACCCGCCCTCCCTCAAAAATGTAATAATCCATCCCTAACTACCCAGATGAGATATCTAGCTGTAAATTAAAGAGATCTTCCTGTATTTTGTGGTTCATGAGCAGACTCAAGTTTTCTTTTCTTTTGCAAGTTTATGGACCGAGACTCAGTCTCGTTCCATAAACTCGCAAAAGAAAAGAACTTTGCCAATATCCGGCCATGGTGACCTCACGCTTGGTCAACAGGCGGTGCCTGCTTGGTCAATAACCCATATTTGATCACTTAGAACAAACTCATCGATAGTGCCAAATTAAGAATTTAGCTTAGCTCGCATCTCTGTAATAGAAATTCATAAACAAGGTGTAGTCAATTGTAAATAGGTGTTTTTTCTGGATCAATATCGATTTCATTGCTTAGCGTTATGCGGACTGAAGGCCTTGATCAAACCAAATAATATGGACAAACAATTATTATGCGGTTGACATCATGCACAAAGGCCGCGTTTCAATTTCCTGACACGAAACAATGGAATAAAACTGTCGCCATGTGGCAAAGTGTAGAATGATTGCTAACTGTTTTAAAGCTTTTAATATAAAGTGTCAGTTTGGAAAAAGATATTTTGCAGCAATCAAGGAGAGGCTGAACTGTTGCAATAATAAGGCTGCATACATACATATTCCAGCACGTAAATAATAATAATAAGGTGAAGAATATGGTAAATTCGAGGCTGCAAGACAACAAGACTGTTCTCTTTTCTACGTACTCGAGGCGTTTGGCTTCGGGAACAAAATCAAGTTTGACTAAAGTTTGCAAGTCGCCGGCACATTTTTGGAAGGGCCATTTGCCACCCCTGATAAGTAATTATTGAAAATGAGCTTTTTGCTTGATTTCTCAAAATTAAAAAGCAAGATCTTGAAGCAAATATGGCTATGAAGTCCAAGAAACATGAATTTAAAAATAATCGAATGATTTGAAGATTGCTTACAAAAATCACATTCCGTTTGTTAAAATGTTTGATGAGGTTGAATCCAGTATAGACACAGTTATCTGTACGTGTTGTTAATGACTTACCATGCAATAAGGTATTGTTTCCAATAAGGCCTGATCAGAATATTCACTTTTGACGTCAACTAGGAATAGAACTAGTGAAAGGAATTTGACTCACGAAAGACCGTGACTGTGCCAACACTTGGTCTTAAAGTACAAGACTTAGCTATTGTATTCTTCATACAGTAGCTAAACAAGTTGTTTGTTAACTGACTACATATCATATGTTAATATCAGAGAAAAAAGCACAGTCATTATCAGATGCGCGGCAATTATCAGTGTTACTTGACAGTGAAGCATGTCGCCTTGATATTGTTTGTGCTGTCAAAAAATCTATGGAATCAAAGGTTCGAACCTTATTGAATAGGCCGGTGATTTGCATGATTGGCAAAATTTAATAGAATCCCTCGCTTTTTGTTTTCCTCGTGCTTCTAGAACAGTTGCTATCTAAACCCTACTGTTGTTTAAAAATTTAAATAACAAAGGAAAAACGAAGTGAATTCTAATAAATGTTGTCAGATGATGATGTCGTGCAAGCGTGCTGTGAACAATCATTTTAAGAACCCATTCAAATATTGATTGGGTGAAAATGAGAAAGTGTCCTTCTCAATCCCCGTGAGAGAGGTGTTAGTAAATCTGAAAAACCAAGTGGAAATTTCAGTGATTTGATAAAAACAATTAGTATATGGCTGACTGCATGGGCGGCCAAGATGAACCTGTGTTGTGATTGGCAAACTGAGCGGGCAAAATGGCGCTATCTTGCCCGCTCGGGATTACCCGCTGTGTCCCTCAAGAAAAATTTGTTCCTTATCCCAACAAATCCTTTATTGACCAAGCTTGTTCGGTTTATGGACCGAGACGGAGTCGAGATCCATAAACACGCAAAAAAAAACCCAAAAAACTTGGGGGTCTTCATGCCTGAAATTAGGAAACAATTCCACTTAGAATTAAAGAACCGGTTTAGCTGCGTATCACAGGAGGAAGATGGTGAAAACATACACGGAATGAGGTCGTAGTAGCAAACGAAAAGGGAAGAAGAGAAAAAGTGGAAAAAGATCATAGAAACTTATTGTGAAACAGCTAGAGATGTGCTAGGTTACAGAACAAGGAAGAGCAAGAGCTGGATCAGCCCAGACAACTGGAGAAGTGTTTAGTGAAGAAAGGAAACAGTTAAAACAAAAGTCATTAGGTAAAAGGTCGGAAAGACAAAGTGAGGATTACAGGAAGAAAGATCTAGAATTGAAGAAAAGCGTGAGAAATGACCGGAAAATTCAACATGATTTAGGAGTAAGTTAAGGCTGGCAAGTTGTTTACAAACGAAAAGGGGCCATCGCCTCGTGGATCACAGCTACTTTGACAATGTTATGACGAAATTGATGATCAATAACAGGACAGACGCATGAAAAACTGACGTCAATTTGTTAATTTAAAAAAAAAATGTGCATTCTTACTTACTACTGTTAGCTACTGTTTGAGGCACGGTGGTCTAGTGGTTAGTGGGATGGACTCTGGATCGAGTGGTTCTCTCTCCTTCTGCCTCGATTCTGTTTATCCAGGCAGGAGTAGGTCGAAGTAGAGATATACAATTCTCTGAAATGCTTGCGAGGAAATTGGCGAGCTGCGAGTTAACCCAACTCCTCACCAATTCCTCGCGACTTCGCCACTCGCACTCGCCGCCAAAACAATTAAGCACTCGCGCGCTAAATCTAGCCAACTACGCAGGCCGGATGGCGCGGGGCTAGTGGATTTTGCAGTGTAATTTAGTCGATTCCGTCCTTTACTTGCTGACTGACAGGGTCCGAAATTAACTTTTTAAGGCCGGCGCCAACTGGCGACTGACATTTTTTTTCAGTCGCCATATGCAAAAATGTGGTCGCCAAAAAGTGTCAGTCAAATTTTTCCTTCGCAGCGAAACGGAAACCAAAATTTTTGGGCGCCATGGGCTTGCCGGCAAAATATTTGCAATTGATGTAATCAGGAATCAAACCAGTACGCAAATCATCTTTTGACTACTTTGACAGATCTACATTTCCGCCTTTTGACGCCCAGAGAATATCTAAATCTTCAACTAATTTCTTCACGGATGTTCCGTCTCCACCTTGTAATAAATTATGGAAAGATTTCAGAACATCTTGGGACACCAAATCGCCTTAATAAATATTTACGGCGAAAGAACGCACGTGGCCTCTTGCGCCTGCAATACGTATGTTATGGAAAACCGCTAAAAAAACATGGCGGCGAAGCTTCGCACTGATCGTAACTGTGAAACGTTGTGGTAGATTTATAATGAGGAAAATCGGTTTCATACTNTTCACGGATGTTCCGTCTCCACCTTGTAATAAATTACGGAAAGATTTCAGAACATCTTTGGACACCAAATTGCCCGAATAAATATTTATGGTGAAAGAATGCACGTGGCCTGTGGCGCCTGCAATACGTATGTTATGGGAAACCGCTGAAAAAACATGGGCGCGAAGCTTCGCACTAATCGCAGCTGTGAAACGTTGTGGTAGATTTATAATGAGGAAAATCGGTTTCATACTTCAAAAGCAGTGGGAAGGTAAAAAGTAAGTGCCCAATTGGCGGGCAGCTTTGAATTTTATTTTAATCAATTTGGCTGAAAATCAAAGTTATTGTATAATTGTCGTGGCATGAAATAGTTAATCGCCCGCTGGCGACCAGCTGTGAAATTCTGGTCGCCAGAGCAAAATTTTTAGTCTCATTGGTGACCAGGAAAGCGCAATTTCGGACCCTGATGTGGCTAAATGCAATTTAGGCAAAGTTTGAGTCAAGCCAATGCTGGCAAGTGGTCCCACAGCAGGACCATGCTCTAAGGAATCTCTTACAGGGTTTTGTAGGGCTTACATGTTTTGCTTGCCAGATCCTTAAAGAGCCTGATCCTTAGAGAAGTCACAAACCATGTTTGTATATATATGCACCGAGTCAGTGATTTGTTTGTTTGTTTGTTTGTAGGGATGATGATTCAGATGATGAAATAGATGATCAAGACATACACAAAATAATGATCGTCACTCAAACCCCACCTCCAGTCAAGAAACATGACAGGACAGGAAGCTATGTCACCAGAGTTAAAATGACACAGGAACTTTCCAAAGCAATTAACGATGGACTTTACTACTATGAGCAGGTATAAAAATATGGGTTTAGTTGAGTGAACGGTCAGTCAACAGTTGAGGTCATGTAAGGATGTTTGTTGGTATGCAGTGCACAAAGTTGCTGTTGTAAGAGAAAAGCTAGGAAAATGTTAACCCTTTGAATACCAACTACGCATATATGAGTAATTAATGGTCGTGCTCTTTGTACCACTTGTCATCAGATATTCTTGATAAGCATATAGTAGTGCTAGGCTAGCCCTTTCCGCACAATGGTCAGGTTTAGATATCGACAACATTATCAGTTTTAGGGCAAAAACGGTGGTAAAATGGTCCACAACGCCTATGATTGATCAAGGTCCATTTCTAGGCTTCACTCGTAATTAACATCCAACTTTTCACTACAGCCAGAAACAACATACAGTGCAAAAGGTAGTCAGTGTAAAAGAGCCGAGAAAAACAGAAAGGAAAGGGCCAACAAACGAAATTGAGAACGGTTAATGGCAAAAAAAAAGAAAGTCCAAATTTTGGCTTATGCGCGTGCCCAGACTTGAAGTTTTGCTCAATTTTGTACCTAATCCTCGAAAAATCTCTCCTTTTAGTAGAAAAAAGCTTTTTTAGCAAAACGTAGGCTTATTTAGCGTCATGGCAGCTAAAAACCTGACTAAACAGTTAAAAACGGTATTTTGGGCGAAACTTTGGTATTCAAAGGGTTAATAGGTGTAACACCACCGCAGTTTTCTCACAACAAGATAATAGACTGTTACTTTGTTTTTCTTTAGGATCTTTGGGATGACAGTGATGATAGTTATCTAAACAGGAAGGTATGTGTTGGCCCTTTTGACTGTCTCTGGGTGAATAGGCAAAATAAATCTGTCAGCTTGATTTTCGTTGACCAATATTTCACCAGATTATTCAAGGCTAGTTTTATTCCTTAAGAATTGTAGGTAATAATTTGAAAGCTATTTACAGATTCCATTGACACCTGTGCCGCCCGTAACTGCCCATGCGAAAAACTTCTCCATTTCCCTGTGCTGCCCGTAACTGCCCGAAAAAAAGCACATGGGGACAATTGCCTTTCCTACCCTCCCTGAAGATTCTTTGGTTCCCCTATTGTTCTATTGTTCTTGAGGACAAATAAACCAATCAGAATGGACTTTCTGAGCATATTTTCAGAGGACTTTACGGGTCCTAGAAAGACGGTTTTTCTTCTTAAAATCGCGCGCTCGAAAAGTGCAGGTAACATGGTGCGTTGCGGTCCAAATCTAAAAAACTTCCAAGGTCTTGTTTTCATTCCTAACACGGATAAATTACTGCTTTGGGCTTTAAAATAGAAAGAAAAAATACAAATCAATGTTCAGGTGGCCTCAGAATGGAGGATCAAGGAATACAGAGTCCTCAAAACTTTCTGGTGAAGAAGTTTTTCTTCCTACAACCG